AATTAAGTTTATAATAAATATAATAGTTATAAAAATAGTTATAATAAGTTTAAAACGGTATTTTAAACTTTATTAAATTTAATTTAAAAATTACAAATAATTTATAACTATTTAAATAATTAATTTTTAAAATTAAATCGTACCGCTATTTATTATAATAATAAATAAATTATACTTAATATTATAATATTATAATAATATATTCTTATTCGATTAAATTATTAAACTATTAAATAATAATTAAATAATAAATAAAATTAATTTAAAATAATTTACGCATTTCGAAAAATATATAAAATTGCATATAAAAAACCTTAAATACTTTTTCATTTTTAACGGCTATAAAAACTATATTTCGATAAAATTTCGAAAATATTACCGTAAATATAATATTATAACCCTTTATATATTTACCCATTTATTCCATAAATTTTAACCTTTAAATATAACCGTATTTTCAATTTTAAAACACGCATATAAATTAACTATTAAAAATTTAATTTATTAAAATTTTATACACATCGAAAAAAAAAACTTTTTCCCCTTATTTTGTATTGCATTTTAAACCGTTTTTATAAAAAATAACATATAAACTAACTTCAAAACAACAAAACTAATTCTTTTAAATAACAATAAAATTATTTTAAACCTTAACATCGTTTAAATCGCCTATACGCTATCCTTAAACCCTAATCTCCCTAACCTCTTTTAAATATTTAAAACATTATATAACATCACAAAAACCGTTTCACAATTTATTTTTTTAAAAAATAAAATCTTTAACTACTAATTTAATTTACCAACTAAAATTTTTAAAAGTATAAATAAATTAAATAAAATTATATATAAATTATTATATAAAATAATTTTATTAAAAAAAAAAGCTATAAATTTTTAAAAAATAAATTACGTACTTTTTAAACGCCAAAAAATTAAAAATAAATAATTACAACGTAAAAAACCTTTTATTTAAACCGAAGAAAATATTATTCGAATTAAAAAAAAAAAAATAATAACGTTATAATTAATAATATTATTGCTAAAAGTAATACCCTACAAAGGCTTTAACAAATTTCCCAACGCTATAACATTTACAAAAATATAAATTATAATATATAAATATATTAAACTAAATTAAAAAATATTAATAAAGAAAATTAATTAAATTTTAATTAAATTAAATACGTTATAATTAAATAATATTTAATTAAATATAAAAAGTTTAAAATTATAAGCTTTTAACTTATATAGGCTTTTAACCTGTTATTTACGTTAATATTTTTAAAATTTTATTAAAATATGGTTTTTATAACTATTAAAAATAAAAAAATATTTAAAACTTTTTATATATAATTTTATATATTTTTTAAAATATATAAACCATTTTAAACCAATTTTATTTATTATTTAACCATTATTTAATAGTTTAATAATTTAATTAAGTAAAAATATATTATTATAATATTATAATATTAAATATAATTTACTTATTATTATAATAAATAACGGTACGGTTTAATTTTAAAAATTAATTGTTTAAATAGTTATAAATTATTTGTAATTTTTAAATTAAATTTAATAAAATTTAAAACGCCATTTTAAATTTATTATAACTATTTTTATAACTATTATATTTATTATAAATTTAGTTTTATTAAAATTATATATATTTTTAAATAAAATATTATATTTTATTATTATATTAATTATAAATTTAAATTAAACTTTATAAATAATAAGATTTTTATAAAAAATTTTTTAATAATCGATTTAATAATTTAAATATGTTTTAAGTTATAATTATTATTATATAAAAATTATTACTTAATTAATTTTAATGTATTTTTCGTTACGTTTATATAATAATATATTAACTATTTTTTTAATATAAATAATTTAAAGTGGGAATATTTAAATATTTAATTTAAGTATATGTTTAATAATAATATTTTCCTTATATTAAATTAATTTTTGCCGTATTTTTATAATATTAATACATAATTATTAACCGTTAATTTTACCGCGTAACGTTATAAAAATAATATTATATACGCGTATAACGCGTTTAATATTAAGTTTTTTATCGTATTATATAACGTTAAACGTTAAATTTATTTTAATTTCTTTTAATTAATAAGATATTTTATTTTAATTAAATAATATATAATTTAAGATAAAAAGTGGTATTTTATATTAGTGTAAGCCTTTAACCCGTGTAAGCCTTTAACCCGTTGTTTACGTTAGCGCCTAACGTTTCCCCAGTTTGTACCCCTGGGTAGTCCTAGGCTTGCTTGGGTTGGCCTGAGATGGTCTTGTTTTGGTTCGTGTGGCTTTGTGAAGACGATTTTAGTGGCTAATTATTATCAATAAACCCTGTCAACCTATCAACTGCTCATTAGCATTCCGAGCCGCAGACCCTTGTCGCGTCCGGTTTTGTCTATTTGCAATTTTAATTCCTTGTAACCGAATAGTACCTATGTACCTAGGCATACGGATTATATCCCTCGGGGCAAGGCTAGCGTAAGTCGAAGGGTGAGGGACAATATGCATGTATTCCGTAACCGATTTTACGGGTTTTAAGCTCGACCAAGAGGATTAATTCTTTCTGTTGTACCGCTAGCCAAGTATGTACCGGGTATGTAGTACCCAGATCCTGTTGTGCATTCTCCTGCATACTGCAGGTACCAATCTGCATACGACGGCACTTCCAGGCCTACATAATTGGTAAATGATCATCAAATCTTTACCTGTGGACCTGTGGACCTGTGGGGAGATGGGGAGTATCGGTTCGCTTAGAGGTACGTGTGTGGTAGGTAATCTTAATTCCACTATCCCCTATTAAGATTGACAGATAAAGAAAAGATCGATCTTAACCATCTGATTGATTAATTCGTAGCGCGGCTAACGGAAATATCATAATTGAAACCCAATTGCTACCTTTCGTAGGGGTTTTGATTTTGCAGTCGTGGTACGAAGAGCCAGTATAGCGCGCGGTAAGATGTGGCGTCAACACCATCCAGACAGAAAGCTGAAGAAGAGAAGCCGCTTAAAGTCAGGAGTTCGCAAAAAGACTTCGTGTAGTATAAGGCAGGGAACCCCAGACTTGACAAGTCTGTGTAAGCTTGACCCTGACCCCTAGTTGGTTTGGAATATTTGATTACCTAGCTTGAGCCTCAAGACCTTGTGGTTAACGGCACGCCGTACTACATTAGACGCGTGATATATGCGTTAGTGAGTGATACTATCAGGTTTCGTAAAATAAAATATCTATCAATGCTGTAATTCCTACGAATTAGACTGGCAAACGGGTTGAATCATGAGCATTTGCATCTGCAATATTCGCCGTATTCGCGGTCGTATGATTCGGTGGAGATGGTGGCTTACGGTGATTTGAGGGTCGTCCGGTAGATCAGGACTCTTCCCATACTGTCGATTCAATTGTCAGCACTTTCAATCCTAGTGCGCATCAGTGGGACGGTCTTCCTGGTAAGAGAAGTTGACCGAGACTGGACTCATGAGCCACTCTTACATAGAAACTAACTGATTAATTGATAGACCTAGAAAGCGACCTCGCGATATTGTCACGACAAATGGAGATTTCACGTAAAACTGCGCAGAATACGCACGCGATAAAAAAGGATGACGAATGAAAATAACTACCTAAATCACATGGCAAACTACAACTAGATAAAAATAGCCTAGTACGTCAGTGGAAGACACGACGTAGTACGTACCGAAAGTTTAAAATCCAATCAGCGGCTCCAATTGGTCATTTAATGCGGGTACGTACAGAGGGTCGAGTTACAGATTTAATCCTGATAGTCAACTTCGGAAGCTGCTCAAGCTTGGTCAATATAAAAGATTCCTACTTGTAAGAGTTTCTAGAACCATTCTTTTCTCTCTATGGTAATTAAATCCTATACCTGCCGGAATCAGCATACGTTTATTAAAGTCAGTGGGAAGACGAGCCTAGAGATCCGAATACCCGGATGAAAAGATACTCCAGCCATGGACCGGTTTCATCTAGCTATCATTAATAATTATATAGAGTTTTCGAGAGTATAAAGGATCAAGGAATATGAAGTCCCAAGGACCTCTGTAATATTCTATACTTAGAACTTGGTGCTTATGTTAGTTATCCTATTCAGGACCTGCCCTCAGAGTATGCTGATGTCAGTCCACCACGCGTACCAAGAGTGGCTTGCCTGAAACACTGTTCTCTCAACGCACTATAGACTTCCTCGAATAGTTACTCATATAATAACTCCTTCCTGATACATCCATCCTAATGAGGAGGAAACGTAAGCACATGATCAAATTGTCTGACCAATCTTATATTAACTATACGGTGCTCGTCCAGCTATTTAAACAATCTGTCTAGGTATCCAGTAGGCCTGCATAATATCAGATATTAAGTCAAAAATATTGGGAACAGGGAACTTCAATATCGATTAGTTATTACTCTCCAAAGAGAGGTGGTTTATTCTATGCTCTCATTTGCTCTGACTTACGGCGAGATATTATGATATCTCAGATACATCTAGGTATCTGTTCCGAACATAGCTGATATGATATTCTCCCAGTAGGTATTTACAATAATATACAATGCATGTGTATTATGTCACGACAATAATACGGGACTTTTAAATGTTGGGTTAGCATACCAATCCTATGATGTATATAATTAAGGGGGGGTTGAAATGATAGAATGCAAATTGCACAAAATACCAAAATAGTAACAAGTCTCAAAACATACCCAAAAAACAATCTACTAGTAAAGGTAACTAAGGTACATAGTCTTGAAGTATAAAGGTTTGACGACCTTGACTTGTGAGTGTAGGTGGTGTAAGGTAAAAAATGATTGGACCTTCGGGAGACTTATTAGTCACCTAACGTTAGGTACCTAGCACAGTAGGGCAAGGGTCGGTCCAACGCACATGAACACACACACACACAAACATACTGTAGGATATATATGGTAAAATGGTGCCATCTATCACGCCCGGTTAGCTCAATCGGTAGAGCGTGAGACTCTTAATCTCAAGGTTGCGGGTAAGTTCTGGAAATTTACCACCAATCTCGTACTGCACAAGCTAACATATCCTCAAAGGTTCGACCCCCGCATCGGGCTCAATTCCTGATGCTTCCCAGTTTACTGGGACAAGCAACCCTCATTTTTTTATAATTATTTCTTTTCCATCCGTCCCATCATTCTCTGGTGCACATTACGTAACGACAATAATGTGCGTTGATATTTCCCGCACCTATCGAGCGCTTTGCATTCCTTTTCGGCCCTGCATTGTGAGTAATTGCTATTTTGCAGGCTTTTTCTTTTTCGTATGCATGCATGTCTTACTTTCTCCGCCGAAGATATAATATATCCTCCCATTTTACGCGCCTCCTCTCTGTAAAGTATCTTTATCAGCTACGGGAGACAAGCGGCTATAGCTCCAAAGCCGTGCCAAATGTAGATTGCTCAGTAATGAAATACATATAAAAGGTAGATCGATGTCAGCCCACTTGTTACACTAGCGACACGCCGGAGTTTCTTCGTGGTGGAACGATATTAATGGTGTGCCTCTGTAAGATCCTCCACCGGGTTTGCTGTTTCAAGTCAATGATCCGACACGAGTTCAAGCGCTCGTAATCGGCTGGTGACAGATAGTATTCACGAAGTTGGTAGCAACGCAATACTCAAGCCAGTATTTATCGAAGAATCAGGATTTGTCAGGGCATCGACGCATAGCCCCTTACTAAAAGCTTGCCCGACGGCTGTTTAGCGCCGGTCCCGCCTAATAATATATTTCGATAGAGCAGCTTTACTCTAGAGAGAATAGAGCCTCTCCTGCGAAGGTATGCATCTTTGAATTCCCTAGAGCGAATTTCAAATATGCCACCGGCCGGATAACGTCTGGAAACCCTAGTCACTACAAGCAACGTGAACGTATAACATAGAATGCTATTCTCATGCAACCTGCTCGCTGGAAATACTCTAAAAGCGATGATGTATATCCACTTTCCCCGATGCTCAGACCATCCCAAACGCCAATGCCATGGAAATTCTTAGAATGTCTAGAACACGCTATGCTTGCTCCATCTATTAGCAGCCCTAATCTGTCTCCCGAAAAAGTAGAAGACAAATGGCACAGGAATCAGCAAGCACGCAAACCCAGCAAAGATGCTCGCCCCGGGGCCGACCCCGATGTTGTGATATAACGGTGTTACAACCAGCGGAAATGCGGCAGCGAAACAACTCCGCAGGAATGTATTAGCAGCTACGGCACTCGCAGCATACATTTGGAAAGTATCGACGAGATAGTTGAGCGCTGCTTGGAAGATTGTGTTAAAACCACACCCAGTAAGGTAAAGCCCGATGACAGGGACGATCCAGGGGGCGATGACTGGATCTGCAGTCCATCCAGTGATGAATTGGCCTGCCGCAAAAAGTACGGAGCCTAGCATCATGGGAGGTAACCTCTTCTCGGGGATTGCTCTGTCGCCTGAAGCATGATAAGCCTTATTGTAGTATAGCTGGTTGGACATGTTGATAACCGCACCGGTTAACGAGCCAAGACAGATGGCTAAAAACGGTAGTTCACTCGACACTAGGGACCATCCTCTAATCTCCCCGAATATAATAGGCACTGCGCCGAGCTGCATGTATAGAATACCATAGCAGAAACTCGCATATAGGGCAACGAGGAAGCAAATCGGCGTGAAAAGAAGCTGTATCGGGCGGACAAGGAACTTCCGCGCCAGTTCGACGACGTTCACATCCCATTCTTCGAACTTAGCGTGGAGCGCCCAGTTACCTGTCTCGAGCCGCAGCCGTCTCGCTTTGGCGACAAGAAGCCTTGGTGGGTACGTCTCGTCGATAAAGATGATAGCGAATATTAAGACGACGGACTGCAACATCCCCGTCGTGTACTCTGTCCATCGCCAGCCGAGGCTCGGCTGCGCTACAACAGCGGCCGAGACGATTGGACCAACCGTTGGCCCACCTACAACAGCCATCGCGTAACCTGCCATGGCGATGCCACGGTAGTCCGGCGTGAATAAGTCGCCTAGAACACCGCCGGTATTCGTCACCGGAGCAGAGGCGAATATGGCGCCCCAAAACCGCGTTAGCATGAGAGTCTGGAAGTCCTTGGCGGTGGCCGAAGCGAACGAGAAGCATATAGAGATAAACATAGGAGTTAATACCGCGGCGCGCCGGCCGTAGACCTCGGAAAGCGGCGCCCAGAGCAGGGGCCCTAGGCCAAATCCGAGGAGGAAGAGGGTAGTTCCTAGCGTTGCCGTTTGCCTCCCGACGCCGAATTGCTCCGCGATCTGCAGAGTCCCGGCAGAATAGGACGAGGATGACCAAGTCGCGGTCATGGTAACTAGACCATAAAGCAGAGTTGTAGCTATCTTCTTGTGCCGCGGCCAGTTCATAGGACGATAGGGGTCGTCCGGCCCGTCGAAGTCGACGAGTGATTCCTGTCCAGTCTTCACTTTCGCGAGCGGATGGCTAAACGGCGGTACCTCCGGACGGGACCGTATTCGGGATAGTACGGTATCCCTACGCGATACCGTCCGCGAGAGTGGACCCGAGAGCCCGTTCGAGCCATCCCGACCACTTGCGCGTATCTGAGACGGACGTGTGTCGAGAGTACACGGTCGGTGGCCGTCGTGGTTCTTTTCGCTCAAAGGACATTCGCAAGACGAATCTGAGTCGAGTTCGGTCGCCGGCGAATCGGCATCTGGTATAGGTACACTCGAAGGAGGCCCTCTACGCGGGTGTTTGGGCTCGTCATCGTCGTCGACAATCGACATTATCACCTTCCAAAAAAGCTATCCGGTAAAATATATGTACAGAGAAAGACCAATATATATAAATTGAAAATAGTCAATGGCGTCACTTGGAGAATTATTAGTAAATAATTTACATCATACTAGCCGGGGTAGCTAAATAGTTGAGTAAAAAGTCCCAATTCTAGTGACGTAGCAGTTCTCCAAAGAGCTTTCAATGCTTGAGCAAAAAGTCCTAATTCAACCAACTTTAACCAACTTTTAAAGGCGGTTGAGCGAGCGCCCTGCCTATAATAGTCTACCAAGCTGGTAAATTTAATCGGCAATTACGCTTAACAACAGCGTTGCTTCACGAGAGTTGCTTAAGAGATCGTCCGACTGGAAACAACACCTGAGGAACCTCTGGGCCATTCGCCATCCGCCATCCGGCCCCGCTCCGGCCAAGCCCGCATCCGAGTCTCCGGGAATCCCCGAAAATTTAAAACCTTATATTTAGGGTAACGGTATCCAGGAAGTATGACACGGAGGCTCGATTTCTATAAGCATGATAAATCCAATATTAAATATTCGACGTGTTAGAATTTCTTAGTAGTCCAGTAGTCCATGTCTCCATCAAGGTTACAAAATCCCACAATCGCGCTCTAAATAAAACTCATGTAAACGGAATGAGATGAAACTCAACATAGTATCCATATTATTTCCATTCTCTATTAAACATAATCATTAGGTTGGGTATTTATAATTTATCGTTTCTATATGTAGGTTATGCAAGTGGCATTTAAACATCCTTATAAGCTGGGATTGAACCTCTTACGGATACGCTCGCCAAATATGAAAAATACGACTGGTATCGGGATAAGCGCGAGCGCGATGAACCCGAGAAGGCTGTTGCCCCATCCTAGGCCCAGCGCGTTGTACATTTCGAGCCCACCGAGAGGAAGAAGGGCGCCGAGGAGTGATCGGAGGACTGTCATCGCAGCCGTGACGGATGCCGCGTAGCGGGGATATGTATCGAGAAGGTAGTTTTGGACGCAGAACTGATTGAATTGTTAGCATCTTTATTATAGCTAAGGGATATTTTAAGGGTTAAAAAGCTTACCATGACACCCATAAGTCCCGCGGCGAAGATGAGGACTCCGAGCATGGGAACTATCCAGTGCACGCCAAAGTTGGTAGTCCATCCGTAGATGAACAGGCCAATAGGGAGTGCGATTCCACAAGGTATGGTTAGCACCGGCGCAATACGGACTTCAGGCTTATGTACGAGCCCTTTCTTATTGTTCCTCTGGACCATCAAGTCGGTGAGCTGTCCAAAACCCACAACACCGATCATCATGCCGATTCCGGCAGGAAGGAACGTCAAACCACTGTCCCCCTCGCTGAAGCCATATTCCTCAGTGTAGACAAAGGAAAAGGTCGTGATAAGAAGGTATAGAATGCCATAGGTGATGGCGACGTATAACGACATGAGAGTGACAATGGGTGTTAGTAGGAGGAGCTTCATTGGTCGGACAATGGCCAGCTTGAACTGTTCCTTGGGGCTTAGCCGTCCTGCGAATTTGCTGCGGAGGTTTTGGTTTCCGGTCTCTTTACGGAGCCTCTGAGTTTTCTTCGCGATTAATACAGGGCCGAACGTTTCCCGAAGGCAGAAAAAGGAGAGGGGAATAAAGACACCGCCCTGTGTTCACGTTAGCCCCTATTCCGCTGAATCGGTGATATGCGGTGTAAGTCAACTTACCAGAATGACGATCAGCCAATACACCCATCTCCATCCAGCAGCCTCGATCAGATAACCACCAGCAATAGGACCAACGCAAGGTCCAAGAAGGGGACCCAGAGCCCAAGCAGACATAGCCCTCCCACGCTTCTCGACAGGCATCACATCCGCAATGCTGCCGCTTCCGATAGTTATAGGTACTGATCCGGCGAGCCCCATCAGTAATCGAAAAGCCATCAACATTCCGGTGCCGGTGCTGAGGGCGGCGCCGACGGAGAAGATGACGAAAAGGATGTTGCCGTAGATGTACAGGGGCCGACGGCCGAAGATCTCGCTCAGCGGCGCTATGAGGAGCGGACCGAAGGCGAATCCTAGGATATATACCGAGACGAGGAATGTAGCTAAGGTTGAAGAAGTCTCGTGGAATTCTACCATGATGCCAGGAATACCGGGTGCGAACATCGAAGAGCCCAGTGGACTATGGTATGTTAGTATGATATCTCGTAATCGGGAAGATCTTGGTGACGCTGATGGCTACTCACGTTACTAAGGTCATTATAGAGAGAATAGCA